ACTGTATATATTTTATTTTATTTTTTAATAGTAACAATTATTGTGATTAATAACCTTTGTATATAGTCCAAAAATATTTCCAACCTTCCCTTCTCATATCCAATTATTATTTATCATGTCAACTCCACATTATATACATTACTATCAATATCAATTATTATTCAGCTATATCTATTACAAATAAGAGTAATTAGATTTAGCTAATTTCAAATTGTATTCTTCCATCTATCAGCCTATGTCTCTCCAATAACAAAACCTTCTTAATCCTATTGCCATTCGTGGAATAGATTTACCAAATGTTTTTATAAGCAAAAAAAAAAAAAAGACAATACATTTATGAAGAGTCATAAGGTACCACACTTAGTGAGTCATAGGGTACAAATAAGCAATCGGGAAACAATCAATATACGTAAGGATACAAGCAACAAAGTTACAATCCTGTAGATAAGTGGGAGGAGATGGGTGGTAGGAACGATGAGAAGACTAATAGTAATAGTAATGCAGCCTTAGTGAATAGTTTGACAGTGATGATGCAATTATTTGCTTAGGAGAGTGATGGCGTTCAGGAAAAATCTGTTCTTGTGTCTAATTGTCTTGGTATGCAGTGATCTATAGTGTCATTTTGAGAGTAGGAGTTAAACAATTTACGTCCAGGATGCATCCAGGATGCGAGGGGTCTGTAAATATTTTCACGGCCCTCTTTTTGATTCGTGCAGTGTACAATGGAAAGGTCCTCAATGGAAGGCAAGTTGGCAGTAACTGTTTTAATTGTAAATTAAATTAAATTTACATGTAAGTAATTTAACTGAATAAAGAAAAGCAAGATTATATACTGACCCTTGTGGTGTATAAGGAACTTCTATGTTGTATCTTTCTTCAGTTTCCAGAATAACTCTGAATGTGGTCTGAATACTATTCAAAGCACAGTAGACATGGTTCTAATGATGCACATAGATTCCCTATAAATATGGCATTATTTGTTGATTTAAATGTGAATAGTCCTTTCTTTGAGAAACCAAACAATTTTAGTTTCTCCCTGCATTCTGTAATCACATTAGTCACACAATCTTTTTGGCATATACAACTTCAAGGAAAATGGGAAAGAGAGGCAAATATATCAGGTCACCATATCTGAGATCATTTTTGTCTCCAGGTGGATATACGTTTTCCTCAAAGTGGAGCGGCTGATCCCAACTGCGTGACTGTGACTGGACTCCCTGACAATGTGGACGAAGCCATTGATCATATTCTAAATCGGGAGGAGGAATATGTATGTGTATTACTTAATTACATGGATTCAAAATATTGTAAAGGAGAATTACATCATTACTCTTGTGTTCGTGTATATACTCTGCTAACTCAGCTATGCTTGTTTGTTTGGCATTGCAGCTGGCTGATGTAGTAGATAATGAGGCAATGCAAGTCTACATGAAACCACCTGGTCATGAAGAAGCTAAGGCTGCATCAAAGGGATTTGTGGTTAGAGATGCCCCATGGACAGCAGGCAATGCTGAGAAGGTAGGAATTGTTTATGTAGTAAACACTTCTTGAATGGGAGAAAACATTGGGACTCACTTGAGTCTTTCATTTAGATTCCAACCTCTATGAAAGCCAAGGCAAAGTGAGAGAGAATTGTTTTCTACCATTTCTGTTAATTTAACAGAATAACAGAGTTGGAAGGGACCTTGGAGATCTTCTAGTCCAACTCCCTAGTCAGGCAGGAAACACTACCATTTCAGACAAATGGTTGTCCAATCTCTTCTTAAAAACTTATTGCTTTTGAGTGTTCAGATTTTTAGTATTTTTCTTGTTATATTTTTAGATTTCATTTACTTTCTTTCTAAAAACATTCATTCATTTTCATTTTGAATCTCATAACCTGTCATAAAAACTGTATAAAATACTGGTCAGTGTAATAAAGATATTACTAAATGTTGGTTTAATACACCCACATTTATAGTGGGGACTTAAGACCTGTGTGGGCTGAAGATAAAAACACAATGGTCTGTGGGCATGAAATTCATATCCGATACATGGGAAAAAATCATTTCAACTTTGGAAAAAATAAACTGTTTTTAGGTAGCCCACTAGTTCCATTTTGCATTGATGTTGCACTGGTAGGAAGAGAATAAGCTATATATTTTCAGCTATTGCTGTACATGACATGGATATTTTTTTATTCTGTCCTGCACATAAGAGCATTTGGAATATTACAGTCTATTATTACAATACTAAATTGTAGTATTACAATACTAAATTGTAGAAAATTGTGAACTATGATTCACTTTTTGGCTCTTTGTAATATGGGTGGGATATAGACTCCTGAATATAATTTTGAATCCAGAGAGTATTTGTTGATTCAAGCTTTATTAACTGGAATTACTTTTGCAATATCTGCATTGTCTATACGGTAATATACGTAGTATCTGAATTACTGATGTCTTTTCAGAACTACCAATGGTTTGATTTTTGGAAAAGTGAAATTACTCTTATAGTTATTAATCAAACACTTCTGTCCTTCATTTTTATTTCCCTGCAGGCCCCAGATATGAGCAGTTCTGAAGATTTTCCAAGTTTTGGAGCTCAGGTGGCTCCCAAGACTCTGCCATGGGGTCCCAAGCGATAATAACATGAAAACAGCAATCGTATCCAGCCATTTGCCACAAAAAAAATAATAATTCCTGAATTCTGCCCTACTGGCTGGATCTAGTGCAGATTGTCAATGAGGGGTCTCTTAATGAAACTAGAGTGCTTATTCCCTCTGTTATCCTTATACTCAGGCCTCGCTATGCTTCTGTTTGACATTTTTTTCTTCCCCTTGACCTGGAACAGAACTTTCCATATTAATTCCAACCTGAAATACATACAGTTTTTCTTTCAAATTTCAGCCTATCATGTGAGTCATTGTGTTGTAACCAAGCCTCCCCTAGCACATTATATAAAGCACTCTAACCTCCATTAGGAGATCACCTTTACTGCACCTAGGAATATACTTCCTGTCTCTCAACCTCAGGAAACCAATTTCCTTGACTTTCTAAAAGCCAAAATATTTGCTCTTCCCCTTCCCTGCTGTTTTTTCCAAGGCCTTATCTTTGTAGTGGGCAATCAGTTTTTCCTTTTCACTGCCAAGCTTCCCCCCACCCCCACCCCAATTGTCCATCTAATTCCACTATTGGTAAGATAATGAGTTTTATCTGAGAGAGCAATGATTTGTCCTGGAGTTTGAGACATCAGAAAGCACTAACAGGGTCACAGTCCTTGTCGTGCTAATTGCAGCACTAAGTGCACAAACATTCTTTCACTGGGTTGAGTACTGAATTGCAACTCATCATCAGTTTCCTTCCCCCCCCCCCTTCACTTTTTTGCATTATCCTTCCTTCCCAACTGTAGTATGGCTAAACAGAGCCGGAAAACTGACAGTATTATTGGATCTGAGAAAACTTGGTTCAACCAAAAGTGCCATGTTAGCATGTCACAAAGGATGTTGGGTGACTAGTGCAGTGTTAAGAGTGCATTGCCCTTTTCCCCCTAGCTTGATAGTGATGGCATTTAAGTACCAGGGTTAAGGTGTGTCTTTTGCTTTTTACTATTGCCTTCTTTCTACCTCAAGCCAGTATGACAGTGGCCTGCTTCTTCAGATAGCTCCTCTTGCTTCCTGATATCATGATTATTGTTCCTCTGTGAGAAGAGGAATATATATGTGTGTGGCTTTAGCTATGTATGTGGCAGTTAGTTTCTCCGCTGGCAAAGATGATCTTAACTGTTGCCACATAGTTTGGTCTCTCATCTTACAACAGAGATTAAGCCTTGGAGGGAGGCAAGTGAGGAGTGGCTTTCACTTAAATCGAAGAATTTGATTGCAGTTCAGTCTTAAAGATGAAGTCTTTTTTTTGATGACCAGCGGCAGGGGTGGGAGATTAGACCTATATTCAGCAAAAGCCTTCTGTAGTTGGCAACAAGTGTTTGTCCTGTTGTCTTGACACCAGTAGTTGCTGCACTCTAGCTGCTACCATAAACTTGATACAAGGCTGCTTGTATTTTAAAGCTGCTCTTCTAGCCACAATTCTCTTTTCTGCTGAAGGTGCTGGCAGCAGTTCTGGGTCTGTTGCCAACTTTGCTCTCTGTCTTTCCTGCTCTCTTCTGAAGAGCTTTTCTGAGCCATTTGTATCTTTCCCCAAGGTCCTTTGTGTCCCAGAATATATGCTGAGAGATGGTTTATAAAGCATCTAGCTTTTTAGTCCATACAAAAGAAAAAAAATCCTCTCAGTTTAAATAAACCTAAGTGAAAGGCAGAGAAATTGTTTCTCTAGGATGGTTCCACTTGGGACAGGAGAAGCCCTATCGCTATCTGAGCAGGAGTCTAAAACAGGGTAGAAGTATTAATGCCTTGCCAGTGGGACCTGGTGTTTGAATGTCACACATCACTTGCACATGTGTTTTGGGCTTACTTGCCATCGAGCATGGCTCTAATGCTGCCGTCTGTTCAAATTGTTAAAAAATACTTCCCTCTTCTGTCCCATGTAGTGTGCAGCACTTGATCTGTGAAGATGTGCTCCATGTCCTCTTAATGTCTTCCATATTACATTTCCATGGCAATGATCCCTTGGCCTTAACTTTGGAATTTGGAGATTATATGCAAAACGTGTATAAAGGCTCATGAGTATGGATGACACTGGAATTTTATAAATTCTAAAAAATAAAACCTGAAACAGCTTTGTGTGTGTTTTTTATTTAAAAAAAAATCACTCCAAATTACAATTTCTACCTGTCCTGTTAATAAAATATATACCCTTGTTTCTCTATATTGTTCCAAAGAGTAATAAGCAAATTTATACCTATCTCAGCTGCTTTTTCAATTTTTGTCAGCAGGGGTATTGATTTAAGCATGATAAAGATTGCAGGTTCCTGGTACATGCATAGTGTTGAAATATATTCCAGCTAAAAGAGGTTTGGATGTGAAGATTATTACAACTCTATGTTGCTTTTGTAGACAAAAAAACCCCCTCTTAGTTAGCTGAAAGCAAGTTTCCTTTTCATAATTGACTTCATATATGGCAGTAATCTTCAGCATATGACTAGAGTCATATGCTAAAGAGGTCATGCTGCTATATCCACTAATCTGCTTTTCTTTTACTAAAGAAAGCAAACCAGTATGAGCTGTTCTAATGTTGCAGGTTCCTACTATTTGGAAAATGCACTGCCTCAAAACCCAGAGATTCCTATATTATTGTAAATAACAGCTGAGCTTAGTAGTAGTCAATTGCTGAATTTCACTATATTTAGAAGTAACCTCTGTTGTAGGAGAGACACAGATTGAAAATTCTTATGTTACGTCTTGTAATTTTCTCGGTGCTGTTTTTCTCCAAGAAACATGAAATCATTGCTTTGGTAAATATGGATGAAATTCCTGAGGCTTTAAACATTTGAGGCACATTCTATACCTGCAATATGTTACATAATTAACAGCTCCATGTCCATACTATGCCAGCTTACACTGCTTCCTCCATGAAGGTTATTCTTGTGTAGAAGCTTGATAATCTGGTCTCGGCCACATCCTTCCAGACCTTCAGAGGTTTATTTTGATACCTTCTCCCCAGGCTGGGTCGGATTGACAACATCTATCACTTCAATGAGAGCCTATCCCACAAAGAAAAAGAAATGTATAATGCATTTTTCCATCAAAGAGAGCTGAGGGAGGTTACCAAAGAAATATACATGGCCATTGTAATAATAAGTCTATTCAAGTTCAATTTTATACAGTGATATGCATATCTGACAGGATCCAATTTCAGTTTAGCCATTATTTAGTTTGTCACATTTAAATTCTTATTCAGTTGCACCTAAGTGTAACTGCATGTAAGATAAATATACAGATGCTTTAAAATTTGCAGTTTAAGCAGAGGTAGTGTTCCACTTCCCACATTTAGTTTATGGTGACAAAATATCATCAAATTTGTGATGACTTCTCCAACATTTTTCAGGCTAAATATTAATTCAGTTTTTGAAGACAAAAGTGTTTATAATGAAGAGTTTGAAGGGGTTGAAGCCTTGATCTTCAGAAATTTAAAATAATGCTAACCTGCTTTTTTGGTTGGGTCCCACCAAAAGCAAATTATGATTAATTCTCGATGTTGGAAACTTAAAATGCAGGAAACATGATTCAAATTAGCTTAAAAAATTAATTAGCAAACAATTATTAATTTGACATTAAGACAAGTGCTATGGTCTGAAAATTAGTGATGGGCCACGAGGACTGCATTCTTTGATTTTGTTTTCTACTGTAAATTCTTAGTAATTGAAAAAAATATATACATGTGCGACAACATAAAATATAAGATATCTTAAGAGGGTTTTTTGTTTTTTGTAGACAGCCCGTGTCCCACAAGGAGGGGCTCTGGTAATTCAGTAAAGGCAAACAGACAGTAAGGATGGTTATGCCTTAGCACAGAAGTGTAAAGGAGTGTGCTTTGCATTTTCTATTCCTAAAAGTGATACAGCATCTAGTTCTGGGAAAGTGGATTTTATTGGACAAAATATTCTAACAAGGCTCATGACAATGAAATTATTCCCTAAATGTTTCTGCCATTTCAGAAAATTAAAAAAAAAAAAAACTTCACCAGAAGGGATGCTGAATGTTGCATGGTTTAATATATGTAAATATTTTGGATCAACAAGTTGTATAAGTAGTGAGTTTACCCTAAAGAATGAAGGTTTATTCAGCTATCAGATAAAGTAACAGGTTTGATGGTTTGATGACTAGTGTGCTTGAGTGGTTAATATTCCGGAAGGAGGAATTTCCTAATGGGGAGAATGATTAATCAGTGGAACAGCTTGCTTCCTGGAGCTGTGGTGTTCCATTGCTGTAGGTTTTCAAGAAAAGTTTAAACAGCCATTTGCCTAGGGTGAAATAAGGACTCCTGCCTTGAGCAGTAGGTTGGACTAGAAGACCTCAAAGGTCCTTCGCAACCGTATGAGTCTGAATTTTTGTGGGGCAATTTTCTATGAAAATGTAATTAAGGCCTGTGTTAGGATTAATCTGAAGGGGAGAAGAAAATGATACTCTTTCATAGACTACAAAGTTATTTAGAAAGGGAGGAAAAATGGACCATGAAGAAAAGGAACCAAAGTCCTAATTTTTATTAATAAATCTGTATTTCAGCTTTCAACCAGCATAAGATAAGACAAAAAAGCAACCTAAACTATATAATATTAGGAATAACCTATCTTTAAAAGGCATAAAAATGATAAAGAAATTGCAGAGTAATGGATATTATAACTATAAAACCCAAACCTTGATTACTATATAATTATTAAATTTTAATTGAAAATAAACCATGACACAGTAAGTATGGTACAGAAATATATGTATAATTACAAAATAGTGGGAAGTTTTCATCAATGGAAATGTGATGATTCACATAAATCATTTTAACACTGTTATTAAAGGGTTCTAAGAGATTCAACCTAAGGAAAAAAATGGGGAGGGAAGAGCCCAAGTGATAATTAATTTTGCATACAAAGTTTATTTCAAGATTAACTTTACTCAATATTTGTAGTTTCATCTAATTTAATACAAAAATTACATTTCTCTGGAAGAAATTGGAATATGCAGCGTAAAAATCGATTACCCATAGAAGTACAGTGATCTTAAGCAATTTCTGTCCTGTTTTTCAAATTAAGGGTCATTGTTTTCATAATAGTGGAGGATTTACCTTATTCTCAGCCAGGGCTTGTTTAGCAAGATACTGTTCTCGCTTTACTTTTATTGCCACTGCTTCTGGGATGTCAGGTACCATCATATCAATCATACGTGCAATGAAGAAAACTACATGCTATGAAAAGAGGTAAAATAAAAGTAAGTTGGAGGAATTTATTGTGAATGGACAGCAGAAATAAATGGAAACCTCATGCCTATAGAATTATGATGACTCCAGTTAGATACAGTATTCTGCAGAAAGATTTTTCCATTATGCCAAGGAATATGAAAATTGGTATAGGTCTCCTTAGAAAACAATTGCTTGTGAGCTTTGGATTGTTTACTTACTGGTTTGGCAATTTTTGGTGATGGTTCATTTTAATGTGAATACATGAGATGGTGGGTGTGCATTCTCTCCATAATCACCAATTTTCCTTCCAAAATTTTATAGAATTTCTGGCATTGAAAAACCTTTAGTACTTCTATCACTAGAACAAAATTTTAGTGCTACACCCTTTCCAATAGCATAATTTATATCATAATTTTGATGTATTTTATGTCCAAATAATTTCTTTAGTTTCAGAACAGCACAAATTTCTTTCAAGCAATCTAAAGTATGAAGTATGACTCATTTTTAACATACTAGTGCTAACACAAGGAAGAAACAATACTACCAACAGGATTTTTAAATGTACTAAATTTTGCAATGGCTAATAAAAGATCTCTAAGGAACAAGTATATGAAAAATAGCTTGAAATGCAATGTACCTCAAATACAATGATGAAGCCAAGTTGGATTGCCAGTAGATTCCAATAAGGTAATGAATACCTGCCATTTTGTTCTCTATAGGCTTGGTACCTGTGGAGATAAGTGCTTCAAAATCCATGCAAAGTAACAAAGCAACGATCATCTTAGCAATCACAGGTTTTCCAGATTAATTTCTGATGTCTCTTTCTTCCACTTTCTATGTTCACAAATTCTCCTTACCTGAACTAGCCCAGGTGAAATTTAGTGCAGTGCATTCTGTCTGCTATTCTGAATTAATATAAGGCAGCGTTTCCTGTTACAGGTAGTCTTTGACCTATGACAATAATAACAAGGATGCAGTAGGCCTGCCTGCCCTTGCCCTCCCAAGTTCCCCCCCACTCCTTGAAACACTATGTGATGCACTTCCTCCCTCTTGGAGTCTCCACATCTCTGCACCAGTTCACTGCAGGTATCCCCCACTCCCTACAGGACCCCTCAGAGTTTGAGCCTCCTCTGTACTCTTTTGAAGATCTCTGGAGCTCTACTAGAGTTTTCCTCAGCACTGTGCAGACCATGTCAAAGAAGCAGAACTTGTCCTTGGGCCAAGTGGTGGTCTCGTGAAAGTGGCCACCATTTCAATGCAACCACAAGGCATTGCTGAAAATTGTGGTTGATTTTGGGAGGCAGCCATGTGGTCCAATAATGAGTGCCCTGTTCTCCTTCCTCAACATGAGAGCCAGAGATCTTCAAAAGATAAGTGTGTAATGGATGATGGTTTGGGAGCAGGCCCAATATCTGCAGGTACTCAGTGTAGTAGGATGGGGAGAGTGGGGGAGGCTGCTGCAATATTCCTGCAGTCAGTTGTCAGGACACATGACTGTGAAGGTGTTGCAGCAACTAACTTCAAAACAGGATCGTAAGTCGCTTTTGGGAAATAAGTTGTAATTTTTAATGGTTGCCCAGTGACAGGCTGTTAAGCCAGGATTGCCTGTACTTGATTTTGAGCAAGGAAAGAGCCACCCAGAGAATTGGATTTCCCTGTTTGCAGCACAGTTGAGACACCTGGCTTTTTAAAAAAATAAATACATAATGTAGGACTAGATCTTTTCATATGTTTGACAACACGTAATATGGGACTGGATATTTTCATGTTTGGCAATTACAGAGTAAACCTTAACGGTGTATACTACTACTTTACACACAAATATCTCAATCAATATGTAGCAAGCCAGGACAAAAATCATTCAAATTCTGACACTATTACACGAGAGAGCTTACTCTGAATTTTAAACAAGCAATTTAGTTCCAATAGATTCACTCACTAATCTTTAAACAGCTATCCTCATCAGCTACAAGAGTAGGAGATCCCACCTGCATGTGACATTGTTCTTCAAGTCAAAAGATTTAGGGGCATAGGCCAGGGTGAAGTCAATGTAGCCCTGTAGATTGCTAGCCCGAGTGTACTGGTAATAGAGACGAGGAAGAAAGTCAGAAGTGAAGGCAATCAGGAAGGCCTAAAAGAAGAACATGTTTATTTTTTTCAGCATTGTGTGACTGAAACACAGACTTGCTTCTTACTCATGGCACAATAGATACTTATTGTACTTTCAGCAACAGTCTTAGAAACACAAACAGGCTCATTCTAGATCAGGTCACTGAGCATCTAGTTCATTGCTTCTTACCTAGCCTTACCCAACCTACTGATGACTTCCTATATTGGGACCAAGTATAAGAGAATTTCCATTCATGATACCCAAAAGGAAATTTGGGGCTGTAGAGAAACCAAGAAGCATTTCTCTCCAGGGTATTTCTATCTCTCAGAGCATCCTTTCACCAGGATACCTGCTAACACAATTCCAACTTTCTTCAACAACCAACCAGCCTGCTCCATAAAGATATGTTCTATCAGTAACTTACAGTGTTTTTCCTCTACCACTTGGTATTTAAATAACTGCAAGCCAGTTCTGTCCCCAAAGAACTGGGTCATTTTGAGTTCATCTTAAATCCTCATCTGCTTGGGAACAGGAAGCTACAATGTAAGTAAACTCAACTCAATCAAAACAACCTTGAATTGTAAATTCAGTGTAATCCAACTGCAGTATTTCAGGACTGTAGCTGCTATGCTTGTACAATTTCTGTTGATTGCTTCCCGTATACACCAGTATAACTCACATTACTAATAACTGCCAAGTGTGTGATGACCTCCAGGATATGAAACCAGATGCCGATGCCCTGGGTCCTTTCTGCAACTGGACGTCGATATTCACAAACAAACTTCTGAGCATCCAAACGAATTTCCACCCAATTGTTAAGTAAAGCAAAAAGAGGGGCCAGGGGGCAGGCAGCAACAAAGATAGTAATGAAGCCAAATTGCAGAACTGAAATGGAATAAAACATTTTAATTTCCAGAGTTTGAGGAAAATAACCTTATCAAAAAATAATTTAGAGGAGACCAAGGTGAGATTTCAGCAAAAGCAGGACTGAAATGCTCTTTCTGAAACCCCAAGTAATATGGTAATATTTTTTTCCACTAAAATGCATCCATTTTAATGTGGATAAAATGAATGACCTTTCATTTCACATATTTTAAGCTGGTTGGTGAATCTATAATACAGCTCAGATAAATTCTATACACTGCCTCAAATATTTACATTTATTGCAGAAATTGTCTAATAGGGCTTTTCAGTCGCTCACACCATTTTTCCATTTGTTGGAGTTATAAATTCCAAGTCTTACTGCATAAAGATTAGGGTAATTCATGAGAAAGATATTTTCATATTTCTCTCCCTAATTACTCTTTTAGCTCAGTTTTTTTTCTTCACTGTTCTTTTAATTCTTGCATTTTTTAATCTCTCCAAGAATATACACACTTATCCCCCTTCCATAATCAGGCCACAGTACTAGAAATCTTCAGAAAACTATTCTTAAGTTTCCCATTTCCCCAGGTGGCTCATACCCATTTCCAGATATTCAGTGAAGAGCCCACTATAGGGCAGCAGTTTATAATCGCTCTCCCAGAATTGCTTCATGACGTTGTCTTGGCCTGTCTTATTGCTTTCAGAAAGATTTCGCTTATGCCTCCATGTTTTCAGCTTCCTGTGGAAAACACAAAAATGTTGTTACTAGAATATCTAGGATAATCTTTTTCAGGCAGAGTGACAGGATCAAATAATATCCGGATGCATCTAGATAAAGTATATTTTTATTTGTGCCCCATTATTTAGCCATAGGTTGGTCTTTTTGAGTTTAGTGTCCTCTGAGAATTGAATCATAAGCCCATCTCATCTTGCAGGTTATTGGTGTGGGAAAATAGGAGAAGCAAGGAGAGTAACACATGTTTGACATGTTTGAGTTATTTATAAAAATAATATAGTCAGGATAAAATAATATTTTTAAAATTCTAATGCAGTGTTTCTCAACCTTGGTGACTTTAAGTCCTGTGGACTTCAACTCCCAGAATGGCTGGGGGATTCTGGGAGTTGAAGTCCACAGGACTTAAAGTCACCAAGGTTGAGAAACACTGTTCTAATGTTAGCAGTGGTGCTTCAGTTTTATGGGGGTCTGGATAAGTATATTCCAAGGACTTGTTCTACAAGTCTCATTAACTAGTTTATTTTCTTTCTCTCCACCATGGGCTTGCCACCTTAGCACCTATCTTAGTGCCTCTGTTGGATCTAGAATATCTGTCATGATCCAGATCTAGCAGAATCACTAGATGGGAACTGTGGCCATAATAGAGGTCAATATTAGGGTTGCTGGTTATGATTGAGTGCATTCATGACCTTGGACTCAGAACACATGCATGATAGAAAAGCAATAGCAGCAATACCAGTTCTCTCTCTCTTTCTCTCTTCTAGTCTAAGTGGGTACAACTTTCTCCTGCTTCTTCCACATAAAGTCTCTGATTTGGCAACAATAACATGGCATCATGGAAATGACATTTTTGTAGTGATAGTGTAATTATTATTATTATGTGGTAGCAGTGGAGTCATGCAGGTTAATACAGCTATGGAAAAACTGGTAATGCTGGACAAAGTGAATGGAAAAAGAAGAATCCATGAGTGTATGAGCTGGCTAGACAGAATATTGGAGGCTAAAGGAATACAACCATGATGTAAGAATTATATAATGTGGCAAAGAGACAGGGTAGTTTTTATCCACAGAGTCACAAGGAATAGGTACCATTCAATGGAACAGAAGAAAAGTAACACCACTGGAATTGATGCAAAAGTAACAATCCTGCAATAGGTGCAACCTGCTGGCAATACTAAGATGACAACAGAAGTGCTTGGCTCAGAAAGAGATACATCCAAAATGTAGAGTGAAGATTTGGGTGGAATGTCATCTAAAATACTGACAAAAGCTGAATGTGAAGTCTAGCACAATATAGTTGTTACGATGTCAAGAGCCTATATGGATAGGTACATTTTACCCAGGCAGAATCCTCATTCGTCTTCATCAGATAAATCAGCAGGTATATTAGACTTAAACTAGCTGGTACGCAAAACGGATGTTAATTTTTATTGCTGGGTCTCAATATTTTCAATAACGCAATGAATTGTACTTGGAGATCCATGAGAGAAAAAAGACCTTGGAATACTGGTGAATAACACATTTGATAAATGTAATCCATCTCTAATCTCTATCAAATAGCTCTGAGAGACAATCTGAGTCACTTCTTCGGGCTCTTACTACTGTGTCAATTAGAAATGAGGCATTATGCAACAAAAGTGCAAAAGGGAGCAATGTGCATCGGAACTCTGATGGTCAGGTAGGGGGAAAATTATTGCATAGCAGACTGTTAAGAAAGTCAAAATCTGTCTAGGAGACAGGGATCTATTCTGATATTATTCTGATGGTGCCAAACATTTTCCAAGAGCAAAATATTTTGCACAACTCTGCTGTAGGCAAATTATATAGGAAGAAACTAGTGTTATTTCCAGCAGTGGAACATTTCACAGTATGGTTAGGGTGACCAGACGTACTGATTTCAGCGTGACAAGCACGCTTTATAACAATTTTTCCTGTGTCCCTCCGCCTTTTAAAAAAGTCCCAATTTTCTGGCTTCATGTTGAAAGCCCAGTGGATTTGCTTAAGAAATCCTAACCGGGGCAAGACAAAAGACATCCTGTCTAATCCCTTTCTCTCTCTGTCTCAGTACTTTCATTGAAGATATTAAAACGTTAAAGCAACAAAACGGACCTCCCCCCCCCGCGCCGGTCGCGTTCACCTCATTTTTATAAGAAAAAAATGATCTAGTACCATAGAGCTGCAGGAAATGGCTAGAGAGGTCGCCAGTGTTACTTCCTGGATTTTCTGGAGGGGAGGGGCATGGAGGTTGGAGGGAAAGTTTCTTTGAAAAATATTGACTTGGAGTTTCTGCCTGTGGTGGGTTTCCAAATCTTTTACTACCAATTCATTCACACAACGCTTCTGTGCATAAGCATAAGCATCCGGGCGGGTGGGTAGAGCCTCCTGCTGCCGCTACTACTGGTTTGCCCGATCCAGGCCGAACCAGAAGCTACCCACCCCTGATATAAACAGCCCAAACTTCATTCAGACTAAGCTAACAACTTGCTACTACTTTGGTTTACCGGTAAAGCTGAACACAAACCAACAACAAACCAACATTTTAATTTTTATTTGTAAATGTGGTACACATCAGAAACACTTGTGCATACTCATATCTGTGTTTGCTCTATTCACTGTATTTGTCAAAGTTTGCACATATTTAAAAATAATTATGTCTCGGCAAAAATGCAAAACATTATTTTGTGAAGCAATTGTAATTGCCAAAGTAACTAGGGAGTGGCTTCTCTTTTCCCACACTTACATTTCTACAATAATTTTTGCTAGCTTTTACAGGGTTTGTGACTTCAGGCAGTTGCCAAGCCTCTTTTTTTATGTCCCACATTCTTCTCCTGCTTCATCTCTGAATTTCAGTAGCATGATTGCCAAAAATTAAGGGTGGAGTTTCTTGACATTTTAGGGCAGAATATAGAAATTATAAGCTAAGTCTAAAGCAGGCTTATGAGAGAACATTTTCACACACAATCGCTTGCCATGTTCTCAAAACCACTGCAGAAGTTTTGTCCTATCAGACAAATTTTCTTAATATTTTGCTCCTCCTTTGATCAAGCCTAGCAGCTTCAAAAATGGCAATTTTGTTCTCATTCTTCTCTTTATGGGTTTGTTTTTTTAAGAATGGGTTAAAAAAAACTTGTACTCCTACACTATGGAAATGAACTGGCAAAACCATCCCTCAGAACAACTGGATATGGACAACAAACATACAATTGTGCTTTGACTATAGAAATGAATGAAAAAAAACCCAGAATGGGAAGAAGAATTTTCAGCAGAAAATTGCCTGTTCCATAATTGTAAGGAAATGTTGGTGCTACAATTATCTTTGCAATGTTCCATATGGAGCAGGAGATGAGATAGTCGTTAATTGCTTCAGCTTCCCAGGAACTATTAAGGCCCATGATTACATATGGGAGGAACTGGAAGTTTTGTTGTTGTTTTTAAATAGAAATGAAATCCCTTCTCTTGTACAATGATGCAGCACCAATATATTGCAGAGCTGTAGTCTCCATCCCTTCCATGTTAATTGCAGCCCCCGTTTGCCCACCCCTGCTTTGTACAAGAACACTGATTGGAATGGATAGAAAAAGTATAAAGTCAGAGCATAGCACTCACGGGATAACGATTTCTTGAATGTTGTTAATTACTTGCTTTCCCACCATGATGACAAGAAGTTCCTGAGCAAGTTCAATGAGGCAGCCACCTGGAGCACACTGGATGAAACAGAGAGAAAAGCTTTGGGGTATGGTTAGTTGCCTAATGAACACTGCATATAACTATGTAGAAATCTTTAAAGTTTCATATGTAGCGTGCATTAGGCATCTATTAAGAATCACTCATGTACTGAAGCATCATGCAACATTATTGGAGGTGTTGAATAAAGGCCTCCTTAATGGAATATATCTACCAGGAAGGAAAACTTGACCAAACCCAGAAAACCTGAATGCTTTTCCTCAGGATTCAGCTTTCTACATAAGGAGAATATTCGTGATTGAGCAGCATTCAGCCGTGAGATTCTTATTTGCGGGTCCCACGGTTATAACTTCTTCATTGTTGTTGAGAACTGGACTCAGTCCTCCCATTTCCTTAGGAAATACCACTTACTACCATAATGAGATAATTACAAAGAAAAGGATCTCTAATAGATTTTACAAAAAATAAATAAATGAAGAGTTATTAAGAAGAGAACTAACAATGAACATACTATTATAGTAAGGTTCTTTGATATAGATAAATCTATGGTGAGTTCATACTTGGAAGGCCATGTACAGTTTAGGTCACCCTGTAAGGGCCATAAAAAAGGCAACAAAAAGATAGAGGAAAACATACACTTTGGGATTTTTGCTCAGAATGAAGGCATGACTGGGTCAGGTATGCAAACCATACCAGACCCACCAAAAAGGATCAGGTTGGGAAAAAAGAAGTATTTTATACACCACATAACTATTAGTGAAATTCACACCCATCAGATTCAGTGTCTAACCAACCCATTTTTAATGGCTATATGGAGGCAGTATCCCAAAGCAACAGAACTATCTCCTTCTTGTCTATGTAAACTTCTCAGATGCATCTGGTGAAACCCAGAATGTTGTGGACCTTTTCTAACATGTTTACAAATACGTTGTGGATATAGATAGAAGAGCGGGTTCATTTAATCTATAAAAAATACCTGTTCTACTCCTTGGTCTGAGGTTAACAGTCTTTCTATTTAGCTCTGGAATGGTTGGGATCAACCTGACTGTATTCATTAATAATTATATATTTGTCACCTTGCAATCCAATCTATTTTGCACAGGTTGCTTAGGAATCTGCTGCTCTAGAGGATGCCTCCACATTTGTTCAAGAACCTATCTCTTCTCATCTCTTCTGATATACTTACATCTTCATTGCGTATGCCCAGTAATTTGTTATAGTGGCCTGGATAACCAACAAACCTGAAAGGGAAAAAGAAAAAGCACAAGGGCAAGAAATGAAAAAAAATATTGGTGTTAACTGTCCATTTGTTAATTCCAGATACTAATATATTTGTTTCGATGCAGCCTACCACGTAACACCCATTCAAGATTTACATTAGTATACTTTTTCTGAACAATAGATGGCAGACATTCTTCACTTTTCCCCATCTTTCTGTCACTATTATGAAGAATCCTGTTGAATTACTGTTATGAGATATTTAAGAACTTATTTTGAAAGTATTCTCCCAAGTTAATAAAACCTCCAGTTTTCACTCAAGCAGCAGCTGTGAGACAAGATAAAATCTACCTTTGCAGACATTTATAGAGATTGTGCTTGCATGATCTGCAGGTTTTGAGAAACTCTCAATGGTCCAGCATTCTGTAGGATGTGCTCCAATTTTCTCACCAGCTTCTTGATCAAAACGATCTGGCAGCAATGGGAATGCAGCAGAGGAGAAAAATGCATTTTCTCTTTGGAGGGCTCAGAATTGCTAGGACAGGGGATGTCTAAGCTTCCTATTTATCTCCCTACTGTCTCCGATCTTGCCAGAAGGCAATAATAGAGGGAACACCTCCTCACTTTTAAAATGCTGGTTATTACCTTTAAGACACATCACTGTGCAATAGCAAGATATAGCAGGCAACATGTTGCCAGAATTGGATGTATATGCTGTTATTTTACAGTCTTCCTCAATATAACATTAGCAGGATGTGTTGAGCCTACAGCACCTATAAATCTTGCTATCTTGTGGATATTGTAATCCACATTAAATAAGTTTCATCTATTACTTAAGAAAACAATTCTACAAAATAAAACTTTAAAAGGGGGCGGGGGAAATATTTCATAAATGAAAGCATGAAGCCAGGGCATTTTGTGTCTTTCAAGCCTTACACTACAAAAAAAGTATTTCCATTCTGAATTAGGAAAATTCTCAAAACAATTTTTTGAAAATTCTATATCTACCTATCATCGTTTCGTCTGTCTCTGTCTCTGTCTGTCTGTCTGTCTGTCTATCTATCTATCTATCTATCTATCTATCTATCATCTATCTATCTATCTATCTATCTATCTATCTATCTATCTATCTCTTGGTTTTAATGGATTTTATGATTGTTGGCAACAGAGTGACTTATCTGAGATGAGTGGCTATAGAAATTAAATAAAATAAAAAAATAAGAAATTTACCTGCCCTTAAAGAAGGCAATGTAGATGGGAGATGAATAGAAATTGATGAACTCAAAGATAAAAACTTTAAAAGTGAAGGCATCTTCAAATGTAGTCTGAGTGCGATGCATTTCTGTGGCAGAAAAATGAATGCATCATTTAGAATAGTGTTTATCCTTCAAGTTTCTCGAACAATTCCTTGTTTTTGTCATCTATTCCTATCTGTCTTCACATCACTGTGTGATGTGTTAAGATCAATGTGCATTGAAAAATATTTTCATGTTATTATATATTATGACCAAGTCAGCAAAGCAAGTTGGAATACATTTTGATTAAAGTTTTTTTTTTTTTTACATTTTCTTCAACCCTTAAGTCTGACTTATTGGGGGAAAGGGTGGAACGTTCCCTTGATGTATGCAAGTTGAATGCCGATATCTTTCAAGAGAAACCTATATTCAACTGGATGTCCTTGATACTAGGATCCTAAAGTTCCCAGATGAAGAATCTATGTATGAGGGGTTGAACAGCATTAGTTCTGGGCAAGGACAAAATACCTGCATATTGCTACAATGAACAATTAATCAGTGGAACAGCTTGCCTCCAGAAGTTGTGAATGCTCCAACACTGGAAGTCTTTAAGAAGATGTTGGATAGCCATTTGTCTGTATTGTATTGTATGATTATATTGTATCCCTGTGTAAAATATATATCATATATAATGCAGTTAAAAATTTAGTGTGGAGATAACATTTGCCTAAGAATTTAGCACCCAGAGAAAAGTGTTTTGTCACAAATTGTACTTTCTAACATAAGGGCTATCAAATCTAGGCTGCAAAAATCCATGTGATTAGAGGTTAATATCTACAGTTAAATTTAAATTTTGTATCTTGGGTCTAGTGCCATACTGGCTCATTTTCTCAACATTCCAAGAAACAGACTAGAAGAGGTTGACAATACAAAAAAATTGTAAACTTTCTCTGCTTGATAGTACAGGTTATCCTCAAGTTGCGACAGTTCACTAAGTGACTGTTGAAAGTTATGACATCACGCACACACCCAAGTACTTACGACACAGTCCTGAGTTTACGAATGTTGCAGCACCACAGTAGTCGTTCACCCTTATAACACCTGTAGAGGCACTGCAACATTTACCTTGCTTATTCTCTCCCACACACCAGATCTCCAAAGGCATTGGGCCTGTGAAAATTCACTTGCCTTGCAAAGATCAAGCTAGCTGTTCCCTTCCTGCCTCTCTGCCACAGTTTCTTTGCCTGCGTCCCTGCAGGCTCTGGTTGTCTTTGCAAAAAGATTTTGGCACAAAGAGTGGAGGCCGGGAGGGGAGTCCGAACCCTCCTGGCCTCCATTCTTCATGCCAAAAGCTTTTTGCAAAGACTAGAGCCTGCTGGGACGCAATCACTCGCCCCCGCAGGGTTTGGCTGGCTTTCCCCAAGGCTTTTGGTGCAAAAAAATGAAGACCAGGAATGGTGCACACACCCCTCCTAGCCTCCATTCTTTGTACCAAAAACCTTTTTCAAAGATGACCAGAGCTTGCAGGGAGACAGACAAAGAAACTGCGGCAAAGAGGCTGGAGAGGACACAGCTCGCTTGATCACCGAGACCTTCAAAAGATAAGTTCCTATGGAGATCCGGTAAGGATGGATAAGGGGGGGGCATGAGATACCTCAGTGGATCGGGGAGGCCTTGGGTGCCCCTCCCATGTTTTTTCCCACCCTGATATCTCATATGCACTTAACAAACTGAGCATTCCATTAGTGAATGTATTGAGTATTTCAGGGAGGGATCACGTTCAATTAACATGATACAATAAACATTGGATTACAAATGTAATTGTCTGGGTACATTACATTTGTAAGTCAAGGACTACATGTAAATCAAGTCACCACTAGCCAAACTACAAATATTTTGGAGTCTCCAGAAATTGTGTATAAATTTCTAACAAATATTGAGTAATCCTGATGCTACAGAATGAAAGACAGTAGAATTCTTTGACATATGCTACAACTCTTTTCAAACTGGAAAATTACTGCATTATAGAAACATTATTTTTGCTTTAAATTTGTTAGTGATAAATACACTAAATAGACATAGGACTTAAAATGTCATCATTTTGATTGCATCTCCTTAACTACCTTATTTCTATAAACAAAACCTACCATAGTTCTACGTTTTAGGAGCTAAGTGATAGGGCTGAAAGTGATGTTTGATATCCAAGCCAATACAGTTTACTTACCCCACTTCGTAAGAAAAAGTGCCAGTGCAGTGTAAATTTTCGAGAGAAGAAGGATGAAAAGGAGATTCACTACTGAGCCTGTCAGGCTAGCAATACGAGAAGCCTAGGGGGCGAGGGGGGGCAAGGAGTTAAAAATGCAAATGAAGTCCAATAGTAAAACCAGACCAAAAGGGATAGAGACATAGACGTCCCTTACCGAAGATACAAGTAGAAAGTGCCCACTCCTGGAGACAATTACAGCAATGATGGCCCGGTAAAGGATAACGGAAATCAGGAACATTATTACCACAGCAATCTGTAGACAGGTAAAGAAGAACTAGTAATGTGCATTTGTTTTCTCACTATTGCAAATAATTAGTCGGCCTGGCTGTGGCCAGTGGAATTAAATGGTCCCAATCTATATTATTCATATATGCTGAACTCTGATTCCCGCTACCAAAGGCTAATAAAATATGGCATGGTAGATGGAGGAATACTGGGTTGGTGAAGGTTAGACTTGAATTTGGAACAGAAAATGCTGATCTTCCTTAATATCCATACATATTTCCTCTAAATAAGCAATTCATCTGTCTACATAGATCCACGATGTGAACATATATTAAGCTATAACATATTTATATTTAGCTTAGTGTCATTGCAAACACACGTTATGGTTTGCATTATATCCAAATCAGGCCATTGTAGTTTACTCAACAAACCATAGTTAACATGGCTTAGCATTATGTATCAACAGTTTATGGCTTATTATTTACATTCTCTAAGCCAAGGTTAATTTTTAACCATGGATTTTTAAATAAACCATGGATTGGATTCACAAATACCTTTATGCTTTAAACCATGTTTGTATCTTTGCTTAGCCCAAAGCAGTCTAATAATATTTTAGTACTGCATTATGGATAATTGGATGAAGATGAAAAAACTTAAACATTTTATTTGCTAAATATTGGGAAAGTGAAATTGTTCACTTTCATATATTTTCTTAACTATAATTAATTGAAATTATTAATAGCAAATATGAAATCTGTAAATAATAGTTGGTAAACTTTCTAACAGAAGAAATATTCCAGACTAAATATAGCCAAATAGGTTTTTATCACTTCAATAGAATCAAACTTGGTGAATACTCTAGGAGGTCATTTAGAAGAATGTGAGTTGAATTATTCCATTTTCTTCAATGCTCCTATAAAATGCATGAAAAATCAAGGGGGGGGGGTGTTAGACTCTTAGCATTTGTTCCCACATCATGCCTCAGATATTCCCTTTGACTACAATAGTTCAAGAGAATAGGGACATCTGCTAGACATTTAAGGTTTAATTCTTTTACATGATTTTTTCAGATAAAGGTTGAGCCCACAACTTGCAAAGGTGTCTTGCCTGAAAAAAGATTGCTTTGCAAAATAAATTGTGATCCAATTGGCATAGCAGAAAAAAGAGATCATGTCTCAAGATTTAGTTCACGTGGGGTTTCCAACCTCCCTCACCATAATGATGATGACCATTGATCCAGTGATGATTCTGTTGAATCGAGTCCGCTTTGGGAAATAGGGCTCCTCCTCTCCAGTAATTGGGTTTATAATTGTCATGGGAGCCAAAGCAGCAAACTGGGGTCGTGGACGTTCCTATAACAGAAGGAATATGAATATTGTAATGTACGCCAGTTTGAATTATGAGTTATATTAGAAGCCCCTAAATTCAGTACCTCAATGTCCTCAAAATCTGAACAGTCCCAGCGGTATATCAGGGTAGCATTCATTCGTTTCCAGTACTCAAGAAATGTGACTGCCCACAGAGACATGAAGATGCTGAAGAAAACAGTGCCACCATGGTCAAAGAGACGGCCAGCCTGGAGGAAAAAGGGAGAGATTATTGTTATGCATGTAGCAAGATAGGGAAGAGAAGTGAGTCAAGTGAGCAAAGTTCTTGAATGTAGTGGCTGGACTCCCACATTATGTTAACACATTGTTTTAACCAAAAGCTTGCTGAATAGCTGTGTCCAGTGCACCAAGTAATTAAACCTGTTATTAAATGCTTACCCTGTATGCCAAGTCGCCTTGGTGACATGGGTGGCATAGAAATCTAATAATAAATAAATAATTTAAGAAGTCCAACACAAAGCACCATATTATGACATAGTTGATTGAATCTACTTAGTGTCTTGCTAACTACCACATACCTGTGTTCCTTCAATTATTTATTTCATACTATGTATGAAATAAAGGGTTACAGAAATGGCCTATAGCTCTTTGTGGTTGAGCCTCTAAAACTACAAGTAAGCTAAATTGCATTTGCAACAAAAATAGCTCAGAAATTGCCAATGTTGCAACATATGCATATATTAGAATTGTTAGGTGGATGAAACCTATATCATACTGTTTTGGAAGAGATAGCTAAAAGTTTAAACTTTACAAATGACAAACTATAAAATTATTTGTAGTTTACAAATAAACTACAAATGACCAATCATTCAAAGAAGGGAGACTGAGGGCGCAGTTTAACTTAATTTCAAGCAATATATTAGAAAGGAACCAACTGAGGACAACCTCACATTAACAATGTTCTTGTGAGTTCTCAATGAGAAGATGAAGAGGAAAAGACATACAGGTTTGTTTACAGAGTGGCTATGCAACTTTATGTGTAAAGATTGTATCTCTTCTTGAATAAAATAGTGGGATTACTGCTCTCACAAATAGAAGAGCAGCAAGGGTGAATACAAAAACCACAGATGAATTAGTTTTGTAAGTATGGCAGAGTTCCTGATTGAAAGGTAAATACATGACAGTGATAAAAGTATGGGGATTGCAATGTGGTTTGATCCCAGAGAGGGGTCTGCAGACCAGATTTTTGTTCTTCAGCAGGTCAATGAGAAGTATGCGAAGTTGATTATAAACTTGTTGATTTAGATAAAGCATCTGAAAAAAAAATCCTAATATTATAACCTCACCTGAAACATGGGGCAGACACTAGATAGATTCCAATAAGGGCAGACTTTGCAAATTGGGCACATCTTGTATTTGTCACCACTGGAACAGATCTCCTGTCTAGTTCAGAAGGAGAGAAAAGAAAAGTGCAAGAAAAAAAATTGCTATGGAACCAGATTCCTTCTACCACAACTTTGCTATTGGTATTGCTTCTGCATTTCAATACAATACAATAGCAGAGTTGGAAGGGACCTCGGAGGTCTTCTAGTCCAACCCCCTGCCTAGGCAGAAAACCCTATACCATTTTAGACAAATGGCTATCCAACATCTTCTTAAAGACTTACAGTGTTGGGGCATTCACAACTTCTGGAGGCAAGCTGTTCCACTGATTAATTGTTCTAACTGTCAGGAAATTTCTCCTCAGTTCTATGTTGCTTCTCTCCTTGATTAGTTTCCACCCATTGCTTCTTGTTCTACCCTCAGGTGCTTTGAAGAATAGTTTGACTCCCTCTTCTTTGTGGCAACCCCTGAGATATTGGAACACTGCTATCATGTCTCCTCTGGTCCTTCTTTTCATTAAACTAGACATACCCAGTTCCTGCAACCGTTCTTCATATGTCTTAGTCTCCAGTCCCCTAATCATCTTTGTTGCTCTTCTCTGCACTCTTTCTAGAGTCTCCACACCTTTTCTACATCGTGGGGACCAAAACTGAATGCAGTATTCCAAGTGTGGCCTTACCAAGGTATTATAAAGTGGTACTAACACTTCACGTGATCTTGAGTCCATCCCTCTGTTTATGTAGCCTAGAACTGTGTTGGGTTTTTTGGCAGTTGCTGCACACTACTGGCTCATATTTAAATGGTTGTCCACTAGGACTCCAAGATCCCTCTCACAGTTACTACTATTGAGCAAGGTACCACCTATACTGTACCTGTGCATTTCCTGCGGGATTGGGCGGCCTATAAAGTTAATAAATAAATAATTAAAAAAAATTTTTTTTTGTAATTCTCTACCTCTAATCTGCTATTGAAAATTTTTGTGGTAGAACAGCAGGATAAAAATGATAGAAATCTATAGCTCTGTCATTTAAATATTGAGGAACATATTTTAAAAAACTTTATAAATTTAAGCAAAGAATGAGTGATTTAGTCAGTCATGCTGGTTGATGAAAAAGGCTCTTATATAAGTTGTCTGAAGACCTGCTAAAACAGAATAAAACAGGAAGAGAAAAGAAAGTTTGCCACTTACGTTGGAATGTCATGAAACATCATAAAAATGCCAATTATGAAGACTAGTGTCCCCACTATAGCTGCTGGAAGAAGCCATGCTGTGTAGAAACCTACACAAAAGGAAGAGAAGCAATAGCATATTCATACTCAACAACTCATGCTGCTCACCCTCTGTGATTGAGAACCATCAGCCTGCTGTCCAGAAAATCTAAGTCCAGTTTGTAATATTTTGCAAAACAGCAAAAACAGAATAACAGATAACAGGATGCTAAAAGTTGGGGGCTGGTTGTTAATAGCAAGTTAGTGGACAAGATTCTGAGAACCAGATTGTTTCCTAGCACCAATATAGAACAAATGTTTCCTATGAGAGAGAAATAGCACCATGGTGAGATGGGTGGCAACTAAATTTAACAAACAAACAAATATATAATATTAATTAGGTTTTTGCTGTGTTATAATGTCCTACCTGGAACCTAGCCAATATTAAGAAACAAGTCAGAAAATATTCCTTGGGATGTGACTGATTAATTGCTATCACTGAGATATGCCCCCAGAGGAAGGGGTTCTCTTGAAAACCATAGAGCAGCAATTGAAGGATCAAATTTGGATTTCTGGATCAAATTTTGAGCCCAGAATTGGGTGTCTTAGGATCATCCAGAAAACAGCAAGTAATAGTAGTGGCAAACTGGTCTGGGATTAATCTTCACTAAGACCCCTTGCTTTTTCTTTATTTTTAAAACCACGTTAATGTCAGCAGACAAGTGACAGGATACCTATGAGTGCAGATCTACACACAATCATCACCATGTTTAAATTATGCTGTTTAAATATGCCAGGACAACATGTTTTCTGTCATATCCCTCACCTCATGTCATTCTTATTCTACCAATATTAAAGTAATAATTTTCCGCATATCAAGATGATACCCATTATAATGGAAGCAAAGTATAGTAACTAGTAAAGTAGTGTTTATCAAAGTAGTGTTTATTGAACATTTCAGATGATGTGGGTACACCGTGTTGCCTCTTGGCAGACTGCTTCTCTGTCACTGTCTACCTAAACAGCTGCTACAGCACAATTCTGCTGATGACCTATCAAAATTGCACAATAGCACTTAGATGGTTCAGTAAGCAATACTGTAAGTGCTTCAAGTCTATGACCCTTATTGGTTTAGTGCAAGGCTGATATAGCAGAATACTGGGATAACATAATAGCCTGAAAGAATTTAACAGAAGGAATTACAGGACCAACATCTCCATCCAAGAAAGCACAAAGCAATCTGAACATTGGAGTTTGTTGCCAATACAAAGGAAAAGAAGCAAAAATTATGCTTGTGTCTCTTCAGCCTTCATGATCATAAACTGTTGCTGTTTTAACTTTATTCAACTTGAATGGAAGAAGAAGAGCACAGGAAGGAAGCTACAGATGAGCCTGCCCCATTTCTGTTTCAGGGATGTGACTGGGGAATATTTTTCTGCAAAGTGATGATTTACACAAGGAGTATAGCTAAACTGGGGAATTCAATCAATCTCATGCTGTGTATGTATCATGGCAGCACCATTTCCAAGAATTCAGAATGGTGCAAGAGTCAGTATAGACATGGAGACAGTGAATTTTGTGCTGATATAGTTCTTTGTCAACCTAAGGCTGAGTGGATAATAGGAATAGGGTTTTATTCAATGTGTCAGGAGTGTAAAAGCAGCAATAGTGCACAGGAAAAAATAAGACAAATATCATATGTACAATCTGCTACTACAGGTAATCCTCACAATTGAACCCAGAATTTATATTGTTAAGTGAGAAATTTGTTAAGTGAATTTTGCCCCATTTTAAGACTTTTCTCACCACTTTTGTTAAGTGAATCACGGCAGTTCTTAAATTAGTAACACGGTTGTTAAGTGGATTTGGCTTCCTCACTGATTGTGTTTGTCAAAAGGTCACAAAAGGGGATCACGTGACTCTGGGACACTGCAACCATCATAAATGTGAGTCAGTTGTCAAGCATCCAAATGTAAATCATGTGGCCATGGGGATGCTACAAAGGTCATAAGGTGAAAAATGGTTGTAAGTCACTTTTTTCAGTGCTGTTGTAATTTTGAACCATCACTAAATGACCTGTTTTAAGTTGAAGACTACCTGTACTAACTGGGTCCATGTGTTTTTTATCAATTTATCTTTTTATTCCAACAATAATACTACTATAAAGTACTATTTCAGAGCCATATGACTGGGATCCAACTACAGACAGTTAGATTTGGTGATTATATTTGATTACCATAGAGAAAAAAGAAATAAGCAGAAAGTAGTCATAGTCAATATTTTCAGCTTTTAAGAATTCATGCTGATCAGCTCACAAATGGATTACTGTAACGTGCTCCACTTGGCACTTTACCTGAAGACAACTTAGAAGCTACTGTTGGCCCGCAATGTGGCAGCACAAGTAATGTTGGGCATGCCTGATTTTGCTTGTGTGATCCAACTATTCTGTGAGCTGCACTGATTGGCTTCTGAATGCAATTCAAGGTGCATTTATCACCTATAAAGACTTACATAGCACAAGGTCTGGTTATTTGTGAGACCATCTGTGTCCATTTTTTCTGCACATCCAATGCAAACATGGATAGGGGGTGCACTCTGGGTCCCATCACTTAAGCAGTGCTTTCTTATGGGGCCATGAAACATGCCTTCTCTGTCATGGCACTTGACCTCTGAAATAATCTCCCCCAAGATCTTGATGGGTCTACTCTGATGGGTTTCATGAAGCTCTTATAGCTGGTTATTCTCCCAGGCTATGGAGAAGAGCAAAATTTATATTTTGGCATGATATAGAGGGTATACTATATATATTATACGTAAGGTGACCAGATTTTCAGATTGGTAAAGAGGGACACCATTGACCGGGGGCGGGGGGGCCTTGATTAAAAATTTTATATTTTGTCAAAAGGTCACACAAGGCGATTACATGACTCCAGGACATTGAAAGCATCATAAATATGAGTCTGTTGTCAAACATCAAAATTTTGATCACGTGACCATGAGGATGCTGCAACGGTTGTTACATGTGAAAAATGGTCACTAAGTGTGAAAAATGGTAATCAGTCACTTTTTTCAATGCCATTGTAACTTTGGTCACTAAAT